GCCGGTTCCCAAGCGGATCTGAGGGGGTGCCCGCGGTGGCTGGTGTCAGCGGGCATAGCTCAGAAACCCCTTCCCCCTCCCCAAGTGCCTCATGCGAATATGAAGAAGGTCACTATTTCTGTCAAATGTCATTTCCAAACCCCGTAAACCTAATGTAGGAAAACGAGATGTGTTAACTAAGTAAAAAAACCCTGAAATATCAAACCTTAATGACAGATTTTCTATATGTGTCAAGAGAAGCCTCCCTCTCTTGCAGGTGAAAGAAGGGAACTGGAAGAAAATGAGTGGAAAATAAATAGCTGAGAAGAGTTCTAGAGGATTTGATGCCTAGTGTGTGTTCTAATGGCTCTAACCATTCATCTTGTGCAGATCACATATTTGAGAAAGTAAATCCTGAGATGGAAAAGCTGGGATATGAGTGCAAGTGCCTTGGAGGAGGGAAAATTGATCATAATAGCAAAGACAAGAAAATTAGGGTATTTGGGCTCTCTACAGTAAGTGCATCTCTTGTATTCCTTCAAATCCTTTTGTCTCTGATGTTCTGGGGTTTTTCTTTATAGTACGGTGGCTTTCAGCAATTTGAATCACAGTGTGAACGTTAACTGGAAAACTTATCTGGCTCAATGGTGAGACAGATTAGGAAAACACTTTTTTAAGGGCAGGAGACCAAAGCAAAAATAATTGGATAGCTTAATGTAGAATAATATCAGCATTAAGTTATCATCAAGAATAAAAATGGAAATTAGTGTCTCTTGACTCAGAATCTTTTCATTGTACTTCTAGAGCTGGAATAGCCCACTTGTAGCTGCTGGGTCCTGATCCAGCTATACTGTCATCTTTATTTGCCAATAAAAATGTTGGTTGGTAGTTGACTAGCTAAATTGTGAGTGTTGCTCTGTGTATGTGTTGAGTAAGACTAGAACCAGTTTAAGTGCGGTGAATTTCTCGTAGTTTCACATAAATGCATTTTGTGGGAATAAAAGTAACTTCCAAGAGTATAGAATCTAGAGCATTTTTGTTACCTGTTACTGTTCTGTTTAAGCTCAATTTCTATAAAAAATTCAGTAACTGGTAATGATTTCTTGAACTTAAGAACATGCTGTAGTATGTTTCTGGTGTTGATCTGGGATGAAGTGTAGGTGCTTCTGTTGTAATACTGTGAGATTCTAGGCAAGATGTAGATGAGAAGAAAATAGTTCTATTAAGTTAATTGAGGTTTTTTTGAAAGTGATGGTTACTTCAAATCTGCTTGCCTTAACTGGATGAGCAGTTAAAGCTGGGCCTTGAATGTGTTAAGCTTTTTGAAGTGTTAGTGCTGCTTTTGTTCCAAGATGACTCTAGCCACATGGGATCATATGAAAAAAACCCAAGACAAACAAAAAACCCACAAACCCCAAGATTTGTATGGGGTGGGAGAGCAATGTATAATGCTTATTCTACTAAAGTCTTGTGCCCATCATAGCTGCATTTTTAGATTAGACTTGACACTTGTATGTATTCATCTGCCAATTCAGCATCAGAGGCAGTGGTCAACTCTTGCTTTTGTAATGCATTGTCTATAGAAAATACCTTATTTCTCTGATTTTGGTCCCTTGATGCCTACAGATGAGAGCTACGTAAAAAGCAGAGTTTTACTAGCTTGAGGGCTTCTGTCAGGCAGAGACCTGGAGGTTCAGAACACCTCAGTAGAAGGTCAGAAGTATTTTAAATTGGTTTAATGCCTCTCTTCACTTGAAGGATTTTTGTCAGACTCTAAAACAGCACTACCTTGGTGTTTTATGAAAACCAGAGAACTAGTCATTGACTTCTTTTGAAGCAGATGCTGTGCTATTATTTGCAAAACCAGATGGGGTCTTCACAGTGATTACCAAGGCAAGAGTGTTGCTTTACAACTGACAGTATAAACCTGCAGTATTTCTGTTGTAGCTCTGCTATCTGATACTTTTGAAAAGCTTGTGTTTTAGAATGCATCAGTTTTAACCTGTGCAGTTTAAGTGCTGGTTTACTTAAGCTATTCTCTTGAGCATCTCTTGAGGCAGAGTCTGTGATGAATAAGAGGACATGTTTTGATAATGCAATCTTAAGCTCTTTTTTCAGTCTTACAAGTTAAATGTTTCACATGATATATTACTGGAAAAATAAAGTACCTGTAAATCACAGGTTTTTATCACTGTACTGCACTTTTGTGCAATAAAGGCTTTTTGACAGGGAAAAACTTGTAGTTCTGAAATAAGAAATCAAGATAACTTAAGTCATATTAGAAAATAATGGAAAGGCACCTTCTACCACAACTTCTTAAATTTCAGTGAAAGAGTAACACTGATTAGTGATTTGAATGAGGGTTAAAAATCAGATGGGTCATTTCCTTAGTTTGAACTTGCAGTGGCTGAAGAGCACAGATATTTAAACTTACGCTGTTTCTAGTTAAGGGAAGATTGCAAATAAATAAAACATGAAGACTCTCTCTTTTTTTTTTTTTTTTTTTAGTGGCTAGAATAGTATTTAAATGCTCACACGTGGCTTTTTATTCCGTTTTCCTTCAGTTGAGCCAAATCATTTGGTTTTATGCTCATACATTTAAGTTGGTCAATGCAATCTCTGGTTTAAAAGAACATTCAGTAAATATGGTAGCTGAGGGGTTGTGAACATTTTAAAACAAGCTTCTGCTGGAGAAATCATGATGTGAAAAATGTATCCTCTGTTACTTGAGATTGACCTTGTCTCATGTATTTTTTACAAATTAGGGTGGGGGGAGTTGGAGAGGCCAATAGAAAAAAAAAGCCTGATACTGCAAGAATAACTTTTAAAACCTGTATTTGATTTGTATGTGAACTAACTGAAGTATCAGATCATAACTGGATAATTTGTGTTGACAAGAACTTAATGGTTCTGTGGACTTACTTTCTGTATGTGTCTAATAAGCACTTGTTCTTTCTTGCAGGGCTATGGAAAAGCAGATCACTCGGTGACTGTAGAGATACTGAAAAAAGTGTACACAGATTATGAAATTACATGGTCAGATGACAAGAAATAAATTGACTCCTTATGAACACCACAAGCAGTTCAAAACTGGTAATTCTGTGAGCTGTACTTTGATAAATAAAATTGGATGTCTTCTATGTATGTTACCATAAATCTGGGGTAACTGGACTCCGCTGCAATTTATTGTACTGTTAGCAATCCCTAGGTATCTCTTTTCAGATCATTCCTTTGTGTAAAATCTGCTGTTCTAAGCCTTTTTCCTGCTCCTTTTGACATGCCATCTAATTAAACACTCCCACATCATCTCACCCTGGTATGTTTTCATCCAATCCTATCTCAGTGATATATTGTAGGATACATCAGGATTTTACCATCAACTTAAAACATGACAGGATTAAACCTGTTCCCTGGTCTTTTGACCACAGCATTTTTTTTCTTTATTTTCTGTTGCTCTTTATGCTTCTCAGCTTTCTTATCCACATTTACAAAAATCAAGGCGGGGTGTGGGGGGTTGACTGTTACAGTTCTTCACCAATTATCTTTGTTTTATTCCATGGTTTTGAAAAGTCAATATTTGTGTTCCACATAAAAGTAATAATCAAGATTTTTTTTTTGTTTCTGTATGATCCTTCCCTATAGCAAAACTGATGGCAATGTCAAATTCTGACAATACTTGTTTCATACTGATTGCCCTGTACCTCTTTCATTCCCTGTGAGTATGATGATGCTTTTTTCCTTTTTTTTATGGCAGTAATTATCTTATAGTTAACTACCTCCCAGACAGACCCAGTAGACTTAGGCAGTGTCACAATTAACTTAGGGCATCTGCTTCCTCCTGTTGTGGCAGGATGTTGCCCTTCATTTGTTGTGAAGTCTATTTGCTACAATTTTCACTTTTTTTAGTTTCCTGCCAGTCTTCTCTTGAATTTTGTTGCAGATTTCCAGGCAGTACCTTTTGTTCTTATGCTTACATTGTTGACTTGCAGTCTTCAAGAGGTATCTATATGTAAATCCTGGTTCTTCCCTTTGCTGTGGTTCCTACTGCACTTATCTACCAGTACCTGGTGGTATAGAGTGTTGTTTTCTTTTCTCTTGAAGTACAAACAGTATGAAATTTGAGAGCTTTAGTCCAGTTTCTATCACCAAAAAATCTTGCTGTTACTGCCTTATTATACTAGTTATCCATCTTATGTCACCCTTCTGTGTCTTTTTGATTGGTTGGGCAGAGAGGGATTTCCTGTTCTCATCCTCAAACCTTTTCAGTCCATTCCTTGAATCTCCATCCCAATAATCCCTGGGGAGCAGGTTCTCTTGAACCTGGTGCTGCAGGTCTCTTGGTTGGCACCTGCTTGGCCCTGCATGCAGCCTGGACTTTCCCCTCCAGCGCCTCTATGTGCTTTTGCATCTGCTGTTTGTGCAATAGTTGTCTTGATGCAGCACTTCAAATGCCATGATAACATTGATTGCAGGTATGATTTTTCTTAACAAGATTTTTATTTCAGAACACAATTAAATGCCTGTGTACCTAGTAACCAAGAATAGCATACAAGTCAGTTTGCAAATGGGGCACTTCCCTCTTCGATTTTCCTCATGGGTTTTTTTTCCCCTAAGCTTTAGTAAAGTAACTGTAACGGATGGCATTTAATTGGTGCCAGTATACACAACTGATTTTTTAATAGCCTCATTTCCCAAAACTAGCAAATAGTCTTCAAAGGGAAGTCATCAGTTAAGGATAGCGCCTGTTAAAACAAACAAGCTTTTTAATTTAGTTTCCTGAGATGTTTTATAACTGATTTTAATGTTGATCTCCACAATGCTTACGGGAAAGACATAATTTAGACCGGATTTCTTATTGTGATGACTCTTTCAGAAAGCAAGGGGATGGGGCAGGGGGGAGAAAAGAGGTGATGATTAGGAATTGTTACCAGCTGATCTCCACCTTTGTTTCTTCATACAAGAAATTGGGCCTGATATAAGGGTTTATTTTGTAATCAAAAAAATACTTTGAGGGTCCTCCCAATTCTGTTATTTCCTAGTGCAATACCATTTGGGGAAGTGCTAATTTCCCTAGCTATTAAGTAATTTGTACAAGTATTACAAGTGAGTGAAATATTTTGATTCCAGATCATGAAGAGAAGCAGGACACTGGTCACTAGGGTGGTGATGAGTTGGCAGGTAGAGAAAGCCTTAATGTAGATTAGGGAAACTGTTATTTGATGTTGAAACACCAATACAACAACTAGACTACAAAACTAAGTGTCAAATTCTGCTTCCTCTCTGTATTTGCTGAGTTCTAAGAATAGATTAGAACTCATCTGGAATTATGGAAATCCCAATGCTAATGTTGCTAATTTCACCTGAGAAAACCATCCATTCTTAATGGGAACTTAATTATACTGTGTGGAGTTTCCTGTTTTGCAGGTGTGCAATCACTGAGATTGTGGCTCTAGCAGTCTTCACTTGAAAGTCCTAAAAATCTGATTCTGTATTTGCATGGAAACAGAGGTATGTTTGAGCAATCCAAAAATAAAAAGAGGATACTGAGTAAAGGAGTAGTATATTAAACCCAAGACAGTGAGTTTGATAATGGAATATTTTCAAGAGGAAACACTATAGTAGAAGATTTTAAGTGCCACCTCTTTTCTTCAAACAATATAAGATGCTTGCTCTTAACCATATTCATTGTTATAGTGGTCAACATTTCTTACTGCTTCAGGCACCCTTCTCTGAAACAGCCCTAGACCTAGCAGGTATAGAACAAGCTATTTGGTCACTATGTGCAAGCCACGATTTGTCTTACAACTGAGGCTTGAAAAATGGCAAATGGTAGTCAACTTTGTTTCCAGCTTCCCAGTGTCTACAGGAAAGAACTGTTAATGCTACTTTATTGATCTGCCAAAGCTAAAACTTTTTGTTCCTCAATCTGTAGTCAGCAGTGGTCTATCATCAGTAAGTTTCAGAGCTGATGCAGAAAAATTCCAAAGAACAATCACAGCCATGGCACAACTGACTGCCTTTTTTTTTTTCCCCCCTTCCCTCTCCTATAAAAAAGCAACTTCAGTAGTTCCAAAGCATCCCTTTAAAATAGTCTACTTATAATTGTTTTTGAAACAACAGTAGTTAAGGGTCTTCTGTAAAGTACAGGAAATCCTCTATGATTCTATCTTAATAGCAACATGGTCAAAATAGGAATCTTGCAGTTGACTTTCACAGTCTTCAGTGACGGGAACTTTATGCAATAGTGATTTAGGTCACTGCTGTGATAAGATTCTTTCCATCTCCTCAGGCTATTGTCCTTTTTCCCCTACAGTGAGTATACCTGCATCCAGTTTATTGCAATGGTTGACTGTCTCAGTTTCTATTTCTGCAAGAGCACCCAGTAAAGCAGTGCATGATAAGCAGTAGCTTTGTACATTAAGTTGTGCGATAGCTTTTTGTCCAGTTTTGGTTAAGACAAAATGGACAATGGATTTTTTTGTGTGAATTGTTGGTGACACCAAGCACTCAGGAACAGGTTTTGTAGTTCTTTGGGTTTGTTTGCATTTTTGGTAAGGTAATTTCTTCAGCAACATCACTATCTTCAGTCTAGGACACAGGAGTGACTTACCCAGGCTTTTCTGAATACTTGCTGCCAAACTGCTGAAAAGATTGAAGAGGTGTGAGCGTTCAGTAGCACCCCCAGCAAGTTTTGAAAATGGGTCATAGTGTATGGGCAGTTAATTTATGGAAAAATCTTGTTAAACAGTACAGCAATCTAGTTAGCAATCTGCTATAATAGTGCAGTTTATCTCCTTTCCCAGTTGTCACCTAAAGCTCAGTTCTGTCATCCTCCAGTTGCCTGGACTGCCTTTTCTTGCATAGAATCTTCTTTCAACTCAAGCTTCTAAAATAAATGTTTTATTCATTTCTAAAAGCAGTATGGTGTTTCCCAATTAGCTACTAAAATTTTCTAGCATCATCTGTCAAAATCTGAACGTGAAAACTTGCAGACCACAGTAGTAAATATTCTCTGGTACAACTTCTCAAAGGCTTGAATAAAAGTCATGTTTGCATTACATATGGAAACGTAACAAAGATTTGTGAGAATGCTAGCAGAGTAAAACATAAGTGAAAAATACGGTCACATCCCCCTCTGGTGGCAAAGCAGCAGAGCACACAGGTATACAGCCGAGTGTGAATGTGTTGCTGCAGTTAAACTGTACGAGAGCTGAAAGCCTACCATTGAGAACCACTTCTCGCATATTAGGATGCTAAATGAGCTCCTTCAGGCTGCACTCGGCAGCCGCTCCTGTGATGTACAGTTCTGGTACTGCCAAAGAATGAGAGGGGGACTAGGGACAGTGATTTGCTTCATTCTTAAATACATATAAATGACAATTGGCATAAACAGATGCTGGTTAAACAGAACTCCATTTTTCTACACAACACCAGAATCAGAAGAGTCCTTCAATTCAGGATTTGTCAAATGTTTCAATAACTAGTAAAGAGCATCCTTAATTTATCAATCTACAATAACTCAACAGAGGAAAAAGCAAAGATATATGAGGATTAAAACATTTTGTCTTAAGAAATTTTTGAAGGACCAGTGGCTGAATTTTAACTGGAATCTTTAAAGGTCATTTCCATAATACATCGCTGCAGTCCTTTATCAATTGTTTTAACTATGCTGCTCCTAAACACTTTTCTCTCTTCAATGAATTCCTCAAAGAGGTAGATACCACCACCAACTCCAAAATAAAGTGATTTGCTTGCCAAATACACACGGCCATTTTTATTCAAGAGCTGAGCCAGTGTATCATGCAAAGCGCTGTAGTAGTCAGGATTATAGATGGTCTCGGATGTGAGAATTACATCATACTTTGAAAAGGGTTTGTTGCTGCTTAACAGGAGCCGGCTGACTTCAGACCACTCTCCAGAAAAAAACCTGCATTTGGTGAGCACATCAGGTAAGCGCTCTGCTTTCCTGGGCTTCTTTGAAGGAGGCTTGCTGGTTTTTCTGTCGTCTCCACTGCCCATCCTATTGCCTGCCTTTATGCAGTTAGCCACCACGTTAGGCAAGGTGATTTCATCAATCACAGTGCTGTTGTAGTCCTGAAAATGGACTTTTTCAGCTTTTCCCCTTAACGCAGTTATGCCCAGCAGTCCAGCCCCACAGCCAAGATCCAGCACTGTCTTGTTGGTAAACTGTATTTCAGCCTCGGAAAAGTAATCTATGAGATCAAAGGTGCATTCCCAGATTTTCAGTCCTCCCTCATAGACCCCTGGGATGAGATCAGAGTGAGAAGAAACACTTTTAGACACGATGCCTTCTCTGTCGGCGCCATCCAAACACATAATTTCCACTACAGACGTATTTACGTAACACAGGTCTGATACTGTTTCCATGACTTTATTTTCCAAGATTTTGCTGAGATCTTCAGGTATATTGTGCTCCTTGGCAGCTTTAAAGTAGAACTTTTTCTTTGGTGTCTCATCTTGCTGCTTATCAGTGCCCAGCCTTGGGCTGGAGCCTGCTATGGCATCGGCAGTTTGCTTGCTCTTTTCTGTGGCTTCCTGTTTGTGTTTTGGAGAGCACAGCTGTGAGTCCACCTTATCATGATTGTCTGGGTCATTGCTCTCATTTTCATCAATAAAAAAATTAAATCGAAAAGCCATTTTCAGGAATAACAGGGTTTTTTTTTTTTTAAAAAAAAAGCTTAATTTATGACAGCCAGAAACACTCATCTAAGAGCATAAAAATAATAAAAAAAAAATTCTTCTTTTTCAGAGAGGATGTTTTATGGAGTTATTGCTCTGGGGAACAACGCTTTGCAGGTAGAATATCAGATGTTTTGCCAATGAATCAGGTGAATTACTCCTGGAAACAGAGAAAATAGGTTATTTATCATTAAACTGCCACAAACTGCAGCATCCTAATTTTTGTTTTTAAAAAAAATCTTCTACATATTTACATTTATTAAAAGAGTGTGACAAGTGACCCCTTTTTTTTTTTTTTTTCCGGTAAAACTCACATTGCGGACTAAACCTTTCAAGCGACGCAAAACCAACGCGCACAGAGGCTGTTAAGGCCCAGCTTCCCTTCTCTGAGCCCCGGCTGAAGCATGCGGGCCGGGCAAAGGTATCTGGTCCCGCTTTCTCCCCACCCCCCCTTATAGCCGTACTGACCCCTGGTTGCTGGATGCGATCGCTCTCCATTATCCCACGTGGAGCGTGTGACCCTTCCTCTTCCTTACGCGCATGCGCGCCCGCGGCGGAAAAAGG